CACTGGCACTGACTCTTCAGGTTTACAAATATTATATTTTGACCAAAACCAAAATATAATATTATTTTCAAAAGCTTTTTTTGTCTGATGCTTCGATTAATTTTAAACAGACAGTTCAACAAAAGGATACCCAAAAAATGTAATTTTATCATTTAAATATTGAATTGTTCTCTCTTAGTAAGATCCCATTTTCAATAAAATTGCGGTCTTACCTTGACTTGAAGATGAAGTCCATTTGGACAAAAATGTCTATAACTTTTTTGTAAAAGTCCTCCTTATCTTCTTGTAGTTTCAAAAGTCTATCATAAATCTAATCGATAGATTTATGATAAAAAAAATATAAAAGTAGGGTAGACATGTGGATGTTATCCGGCTGAACAAAACGTGCATTTATCTAACAGGTACGTTTCCCACAGATCTTATTTCGAGCTATTTTCTAAAATCCTATGGAGAAACCTCATTGCTTTTTTGTCGAGGGAAGCCATGCGCAGCTTACTTCCTGGTTTTAGGACGCGTCACTGCAGCTCTCTCGTCTCTTCACACACCACACTTTTCGCGGCACACATACTTACAGCCAATCAGCTCTGAATGATGTGAGATGACGTATGGTGGGGATGGCAGCTCAGTGCCCCTATGGTCATTATTTTTTTGCCACACACATTAAATAGGAAAATACTCTGAGCATGCGCAGTGTAGTTTTTACAGTCACCGTTCACTTCACAGCGAGAGGGAGGGGCATGATCAGGTTTTGTCCCACATGGCTCTAAACAGCTCAATAGGCACACACTGTGACTGTAGACACACTAATTAGAACACAGACTAAAACAGCAATGTACAGACGAATCAGATGATTAAACATGATCTTAAAATATATTTTATATTTATTTTTATTTTGTTTTTGCATTTTTTGTAATCATTATTTGTAATACTTTCTGCTGACACTAGGTGGGGCAGCTACAGGTTAGCTTAGCCTAATCGATCAGTGCACTACGAAGCCAGTGCTAGACAGTGAACTGTCAACGGGGGGAGCCCCACCGGTCATTATCGGCCGATATTCACTCTTAATAGTTTGATCGGTGCTCTCTATAAAGGCCGTTCAGGAGAGCTGGATCTGATCGATATGGACATAAACGCGAGTGAAGTTTTAGCGAGCTGCATGAGAAACTGACGGGCTGTCAGGAGGAGAGAGGGATGAGAGAGGAAAATATAGGATCCGTTACTCCCGTGTTATTAGCCATATCCGGTCATAGTCCGGTAATTACCTGCTAACGGAAACTCTGCTACACAATTCTTCTTCTTCTTCTTCTTCTTCTTATTATTGAAACATGACCGGTAAGTTTCAAATTTGTCCGGTAAAATAAATTCTGTCCGTGGAAACCCTGCTCCGGACAGCGCAAAATGCGTATATGAAGTGTCATGAACGCAATAAATCATACCCTTGTGGGGACGCGCTCATGTGATTGGCTTAGAATGAAGGAGACATCTGATTGGCTATAGATAGAAAAAATTACAAGTACGAATCGGGTGACCAGGGGAGTCTCAAAAAACCCACACACGAATGCACAGCGATCCATGCAGAAAGCAGTTTGTGTTTGCAGGTTCAGGGGATTTAAACGGAAAACAAATATGTGAGGATCAAAAATACATATGTAAAACTTTTTTCTGTATTTGGATTTTATTTACATGTATATGAAACGGAACACATTTGTGTGTGCATTGAAAAACACAAGTGTGGATCCGGAAATACAAGTGTGAATCCTTTTGCGGATCATGAAATACAAGTGTGAATCCTTCTGTGTGCATGTGTGTATTATGAGACTGTTCTGAGCCCATACAAAACAGCCGGCCAGCTAACCAATCAGAGCAGACTGGGCTCTGGTTTCAAACAGAGGGTGAAAAGAGGTGCTGCAGCACAGGCAGTATGAGAAAAATAAAGAGCTTTTTGAACATTAAAGCATGGAAACAGCTGTGCAGAGGCCTGTCAACCAATCGGTGCACTTAAAACAGGGATAAACAATATATAATTATAATAATAATAATGATCTAAATGGGAAAATGGACCACAATACTATTTTGGTACCAACCTAAATGTGTCCATAGCATCCATATCTCAAACTGAGTCAAACTCTTCTTCTTCTTTGATCAGATATCCTTATATTTATACTTTGATATTTTGGACCCATTTTGGGTCTGTGCATACATGACAACAAATAATGAAATATATTTATTTTATATTACAAGACATCAAATTATCCATGCCTGAGCGGAAACTCAGTTCTTCACTCTGGTGTTATTTACATCACACACATAGGATCAAATACACACATGAGCACATGCACTAACAGGACATGCATGCTTTAGCGGAGAGGTGTTAGAGCGAAAGGGGCTGCCAGTGTTCTGGGGCCCTGCAGTGGTTGGCGGTGCCTTGCTCAAGGACACCTCGGCATTGCCCAGGAGGTAACTGGCATCTCTCCAGCTACCAGTCCTCACTTTGTATTTTGTCAGATAGGGACTTGAGCCGGCGACCCTCCAGTTCCCAAGATCCCTGGTCCCTCCGGACTGAGCAGAACAGTACTGAATTATAGTGGGTTTCAATTATAAACAGTACAGTAACCTAATTGAATTTGTCCAGTTATTTGAAAAGAGTTTGAAACAGTCGCTACCATTCTGTAAATAGCAAGATTTTCATATACTCTGTTATAATTATACAAACGTCAATGTGATGTTACCTGCAGGAGAAACAATTACAAATATTTTATTATAACAATCCGCTAGTGATTAATTATACACAGAGAAAAGAGCATTATTATAGAGGGTTTCTTCATTGTTTTTTTTTGTTTCATGACACAATAGACACAATGGTTACAATGGAGGATGTCCTTCTTTAGTTTTTTCATTTTGATTTACATTCAAGTTTTACAATTGCAGTTAGTAGAGTTTAAGTTGTCCCACTCTTGGTTGGTCAGGTATATCCCATCAGCCCGGTACCCTTTTTCCTTTTCTTTAAAAATCCGTCTAGAAATGCTGCACGATAGCACCGGTCTGAAGTGTGATCATCATCTAAATGCCCCCCACATTTTCTCTAAAGTTCGTTTTGAGTTAAATGTATTTTACAGCTCATGTTTCTGGTTATGAAAGAAGCAGTTTTTTCATCTGGGTTTTGCAGCAGTAATGTGGTATCGGTGATGAGAGCCTGTTCCTGAATAAAAAATATATAAATGTCTGAAGAATCAGAATCATATTTGAGCGCTAGTATCTGAAATTGTTAAGGGATTCAAGCCATAGTTGTGCCAAGTAAAATAAAAATACCATAACAATCTAAGCTAAACTGGTAGAAGAGTTGAAACTGAGCTACTACTTAATAATGAGTTGACCACACTTTCCTTATTTTTAGTATTTATTTTAGTTGATAATGATATACAAACAATCTATCTTTAGTATTATTTTTACTAGCATTACACACACCATAGAAAATAAATAAATCACAACCTCTCACATAATTTGTAAAATGTGCTGCGAAGTGTTGGATATATTCGCTCTGCTTTTCTTCTGTACTCTGCTGCCCTCTGTTGACAACACAAAAGTATGACATTTACTACTAATCTACTGTTTGAATGAAAAACAAACATTTATTCAGACGGATATGCCTAAATGTAATACAAATTACAGAGATGATAACACAAAGCTAGTATAGGCCTACTGTTATATGGATGAAACATCTTAATGTACTGTAGTCTTTATAAATAATATACTATTATTAATTTACTGAATTTAAGACGGACTGTAGAATTGAGTAATAATGAATGCGAAATTGGGAATAGATGTGTTATTAAGTAGCCTATGTGAGTGAATATTAATAGAAATTAATTAATTAATTAATTAATACATAGACTGATTCATTGATGAACTAAACAGCAGCTCAATTGTTTAATCCTGAAATAAAGTTTACATTTTACAATGTAAAATGGAAGAAATAAAATAAAAATAATATGTACATAATATACAGCCAAAAGTCTCAAACATAATGTCCAGGGAAGGTAATTAATTAACAAAAAGTTCTTGAAGTAAACATTAAACTGACAGACCTTTGCCACACGGGGGCGCTGTTTCTCCGCTGAGGCTGCAGAATGACTGGCAGGGAACGAGGCTCCCAGGAGCTGAGTCAAGCTAACGAGGGTGAGCTGATTGGAGAGCGACCTGCATTCAACAATAAAATATAAAAGGGATCTGCACACATCTGCACTCGTTAACTCTTCAAAAAACATTTAATGGATTTCATTTGTTTTAATTAATTATACATAATACATTGGGATGTAGCCTACTAAATAATAACTTTTTAAACAACATGGTTTGATGAATTTGGACATTACAAGCTGTAGGAAAAACATTTATTAAAAAAATAAATGTCTATGCAATTAAATTATATAATTTACAACTTGATGTATTTTTATTTTATTTTATATTTGTTGTTTGTATATATAGTTATGTATAATTTATGTAAAGAAAGTTAAAAAAATAAAACGTATACCTAGGACCAATTTTCCAATATTCTTGGATCATGTCAAGTCAAGGCAAATTGTCTTCTGTATCAAATACATGATCTGAGTGCTTTACCAACACATGTTACTTTGACTTTTTTGGGTGGTCTCTGCTTTTTTCAAGTATTAACCAATTGTTTTTATTTATGCATTCTCTTTATGTTTAATCATGTAACTCTAAATATTTTAAATAAATGAATAAACCTTAGGCATACTTTACATTTCACACAATCACGACTTCTTGCACGACCACTGTGTGCATTATGAGACAATGGGCCCCTGGGCACAGCTATGCAAAAGTCTTCAGCACCTTTCCAACATAGGAACAAGATACATATTTTCACATTTTTAACATTGTTGTTGTTGATGTTTTAAGAATGTATTTAGATATGAGATTTTATTCTGAAAAGTAGTAACCGGTAGTCAGGAGGCGCGCTCTCAGCTAGCTTGATGTTACTTGCGCAAAGTTCCTCCTCTCGGTCCCGAAAGAAAACGGATGAGAAACCTCTTTTTGTGTCATTGTATGTTGTTGTGCGGCTACTAAAGCAACCGAAATGTCTCCCGGTAAGTCTTTTGTCACTTCTTAAACAGAGACGTTAATATGTTCTCCACGTTTAGACATGTTATTAACGGAAATATTCGCATTTGTTTTTTTTAGATTTCTGCGCCGAATCATCTCTGAAGAAGAGAAGCTCGCATGAAAACACAGAATAAAATCACTAAAAGTAGTTCTCATCAGGGAAATTTCATTTAGCGTTAGCTTTGACTATTTTCTGGTGGCTGTAGCTGTGTTTTATGCGAGTGAAGACACTGAAACAATGGCGTTCTTCGTGAAAAAGAAGAAATTCAAGTTCCAGACCCAACTGACGCTGGAGGAGCTGACCGCTGTGCCTTTTGTCAACGGAGTTTTGTTCTGCAAGATGAGGCTGCTGGATGGAGACTTTGTCGCTACTTCTTCCAGGTAAAAAAAAAACCCCAAATCATACTAAAACACCCTGAAACATCCCGTCAATGATGCAAAAGTTGTGGTACATATGTAATAGCTTTTCAAAAAGATTATCCTCTTTTAAAGTCACTTTAATACACTTAGCCTATAGAAGCTTAAAGTGCACATATGGCTCTGTTAAGTGACATCATTTGCATGTTAATTAAAATTGTCCAGTTGGTCATTTTATATTTTTCTATAGTATTCTTAATGTTTTCTAAACTTTCTTTGCGATGTGTTAACTATAGGAAAAATAGTGATTTCGAATGTATTATTATTATTATATTTTTGCTGGTTGGTTTGTTTTAGTTTTTTAGAATCACAAATTACTCAATTAGTTGCTGTTTTCACATCATACCACCGCTAAACACCCTTTAATTCATGCAAACATTATTTAAAATGCATTTAAAAAGGATTTACATTTTAATACAATTTAGGACTCATTTTACCCTGTCCAAGTCACTTAAACACTCTTACAAGAGGTTAAAGTGCATTTATGGAACTTTCTAGTGACATTTTATATCCTTACAGTATAGGCCTATATGTTTTTCCAACATGGTGTTATATTCCATAGGGTTCCTTAACTTGTTTTTGGTGTGCTATATGGAAAATATGGTGATTGTTGCAGTGATCATATTATAGGATATTGTAACTTCTAGTTTGTTCCCCTTTATTATTGTAACATACTTCTTTGATGTAACAGATGTCGTTGTTGTTGCATTTCTGTACCCAAACAATTGGTGTTATTTCTTTGTTGCACAACTTCAGATGCACATTTCACCAGCTCAGCTCAGGCAGGTTGATGTAAGACTACTTTCCTCAGAATCACATTTAAACGCAGGGTGTAGCCTGTTAAGTGACCTCTGTGTATCTACATAGGCTACCAGACTAAACATAAGAACACCTCTCAAACCAGTTTGCACGGGCCAAATGCCCTGTAGGACCATGGCACTAGGATGTGGTGAACTTGATAGTGAGATTGTCTTTTTCCTCATCACGTCACAGAACTCAAGATTCCCTCCCTCGACTTTGAAAACATCAACAACTTTTCCCCCTTTCCCTCCCTTGTCTTTCATTCACTAGATGAGATTAGAGGGCCTTGAAAGTCTCGTCAGATGTCTGTTCCAGTTTTTTTTGTTTAAGATTAAAGATGGGACACAGTGCATGTCTGGAGACGGGTTGACCTTTTGTGACTTCATTGTAGGACTGTTTTTTACACTTCAAGTATTACACTGGCCTCACCGTGTCCTACATGAGCTAAATGAGTGAGCAAACTTCACAGATAACTAATCAGGACACTTAAAGGTGGGGTAGGTAATTCACTTCAGAAACACTTTTTGTTATATTCCATGGAATGCTCTTAACATCCCGATAGCAATGAATAAATGAAATGCTTTGACAATAAATATATACAAATATTTCATCTGTGGAAGCCGTGGCGTTGTAAAAAGCAAGTCCAATTATCTGCCTCGGCCCACGGCAGATAATTGGATGGCCTACCTGCCCTAACTTATCTCGTGCCCTCATTAGCCGCGTTCACACCAAGTAATTTGCCGTACTTAGTGCCGGCACTTAGTGCCCCGGCACTTATTACCCCAGGGCACTTAGTACAGATCGCGTTCACACCGGAATAAGTTCCCTGAGGGAAGATGCAAATGAGCCGCTGACGTCACTTCGTCTTATTCAGCTTTGGGTTTACTGGCAGGCCGCAAACCACTTCACGGTGTATACTGCCACCCGAAGTCCCCGGCCGGAAGTCCCCGGAGTTGGGGACTGGCTTCAGTAGAAGCTGCTGGGACTCCCAGCAGCTTCTACTGAAGCCTTCCGAGTAAATCGCCAGAACGCCGACACCTCCTCATCTCCACCGCTCCCATCTTTTATTTTGTGTATTAAGTTAGTCTCTCTGCGTTTGTGCGCTGGGCGAATGCTAATGCGAGGATAATAAAATGGCGGCTCTACAAAACATTTCAGAGTTGTACGGGGTAGGGATGCCAGCGATTATTCGAATATTCGTTACAGTCTCCATAATCGAAGATTATTTTTAAAATTCGATTTTATTTATATATTTTTTTATTAATATTTATGTTTTTTTTTTTTTTCCTGGTTTGGTTTCAACCGGGGTCGAATAATCGATTAATATTCGCCAGGGCTGTCCGATTTTCGATTTTGATCATGGTCAGTTTCTGGCATCCCTAGTACGGGGCGTGGTTTGCAATTCGCCCAGCCAATCAGAACTGGGGCACTTTTTTCCCCCAGGAAAGTACCATCTCTCAGCAGGCACTAAAAATGGGGGTAAAAGTTCCCGGCACTAAGTACTTTTTTTGGTGTGAACGCGACATAAGGGGTACTAACGGAACTAAACGCGAAAAGTACGGGGAAAAGTACTCCGGTGTGAACGCGGCTATTGGTCATGTGCGCGTTCGTGTGTTGGAGGAGGGGCTCTGTAAGGAAGTCTGAAGGAAGGGGCAGATTTTTTTCGGTTTTGTACTTTCAAATTCTAGCTTACTCGAGCTGGTTTCTCCATTCTTACCTACCCTACCTTTAAACAGTATCAATTCCTACATACAAATGTCCTCAAGAGCCGTGTTCACACCAAGTACTTTCCTGTACTTAGTTCCGGCACTAAGAGCCCCGGCGCTTTTAACCCCAGGGCACTTAGTACAGATCGGGTTCACACCGGAGTACTTTTCCCTGAGGGAAGATTACGCAAATGAGCCGCTGACGTCACTTCTTCTTCTTCTGCTTTGGCTTTACTGGCAGGCCACAAACCACTTCACGGCGAGTACAGTAGGTGGCGGTATGCACCTTAAAGTTGTTTGCAATCCGCTACAAAACAAGAGAAGAAGAAGAAGAAAAACTTCCCGCGTATATTGTCTGTTGTTTACCTTCCGACCTCAGACATGATGGAGATGGAGTCGACTGAAGTTGTGCTGTTTGTGCTCATGTTATACAGCTTTGTAACTTCGTTAATGCGGCCTGAGCCAGAGCCTGAGCCTATTAGGCGTCCGACACAAATCCGGAGCCGCCACACGTCGAATGCTATAATCGCAAAGTTTCTTCAGCATCAAAGGCAGTTCAAAAGCCTTAGGAAAAGGATTGGCCGACGGAAAGCACACATGATTGCCATGTTTCACCGTAGGATGGCTGATGACGATAAGCAAGATACAGGATCTGTTTAATCGCCATGTCGGTTTTCTTTATTGCACTCTCAAGACATAACATTAAATAGAAATATTTTAAATGTAACTAAAGTGTCAGTTGTACATGTCAGTAAACATTGTCAATATAAAATAAAGTGTCAGTTGTACTATATAATAACAGTAATAACAATATAGAATAAACTGTCCCAGGTGTAGGGATAGTCTCAGCAGCAAACCCACCTTAATGATATATATATATATATATATATATATATATATATATATATATATATATATATATATATATATATATATATATATCTTATATATATATATCTTCCTGAGACCCACTGCATCCGTCTGCCATAAACACTATGGAAACATACATGTTAGTTTTGGCCCATAGTGGACTCCATGTTGTGTTGTGTAAAATGGGGGGGAATTAAAAGTTTAGGTCAAATAATATTTAAAATTATATAAATTATCATATTTGTGTATGTGCCGCTGCCATTCCCCCACAAGGTTGCAACATTGATGATAAATAAATGACAAATACAGCTTTGCCAGTTTATAACCGATGAAACATGATGGTATCAGAATAATCACTTACATGTGATGTATAGGATGCTACACAGGTCACAAAAGATAAAGTGTCAGGAGAAATAAGCAATATACAGGATCTGTTTAATCGCCATGTCGGTTTTCTTTATTGCACTCTCAAGACATAACATTAAATAGAACAATTTTAAATGTAAATAAAGTGTCAGTTGTACATGTCAGTAAACATTATATATAAAATAAAGTGATAACAGTAATAACAATATAAAATAAACTGTCCCAGGTGTAGGGATAGTCTCAGCAGCATACACACCTTAGTGCAAAGTTGTGTGTCGTGTGTCAGTATTTACAAAAACTATACCAAATAAACTGTCCCAGGTGTAGGCATAGGCTCAGCAGCAGACATTAACAGTGGCAACTAAAGGGAGGAAGACCTGTTGGCTTTCACTAGCTGGGAAAGCACTTCCAGAAACCCATTATTAAATGCAGTTTGTCGCTCATCCTGCCGCAGTTCCTGGCGCCGCTCGCGCTGCGCTGACGCTTCCTCATGGCGCAGCGCCCACACTTCATCCTGGTGCTGCTGGCGCTCCATCTGCTGCTTGAACACTTCTGCCTGGCGCTCCATCGAGGTGAGCATCTTGTCCTCCGTTTCCTGGGCCTTGGTGAACTGCACCATCTGATCTCCACGCAGCGACTCATTCACCACGGCACGCCGGTCCTCCAACGCCTGGACGGTCTCAAAGAAAAGTGCATCCTGTGTCCGCTTTCCTAAGAGGGGAAAATAAGCAAGATACAAGATCAACAACCAGAGACAATACATCATGTATTTTTTAGCTGCCCGGATTATAACAGACAAAGACTCATTCTGAAAACTGCACTGGAACAACTCAACATCAAGGACATGGATTTCAAGTCAATATATGAAAGTAAATCAAGAAATGAAGCAAACAAGCTGATCTTCAAATTCTTCAAAAGCACTGGTCTGAGGACAAGGATTTAATAAAAACATTTAATAAATCAACAGTAGGTGGCGATATATGCTCCAAGTGGAAGCGATTTCTTACCGGAAGTCATGTGACCTCTAACCCGGATGTTTACAATGTTTGTGAGAGTAAAAAGGCGCGAACATTTGTAAATGCCGGTATAGGCGAATACGTTTTCACGCTGTTTCATAATTGTACCAAGAAGGAAATAAACATGATTGTGAACATCAGTGCCATGCGTAACGTTCTTTCAAGACAAAGTTACAGTGTGTGTACCTTTGCGTTTAGTTACTGG